TCATAGTGTTGAGTTGTCTTCTCACAGTGGAAGGATGAACAGAAACACCTGTGGATTTTTTCAGATCTGAAGCAACAGTGGAGTTTGCTGTTCTCTTGTCTATTAAAGATGAAAACTTTAAGCATTGTTTATGTGATGGTGACAGTTTTGGTGGTCTACCAGGTCTGGCATGGTTGTTGAGAGTCACATTTTTTTCTACCTTTTTTTTTGTTTTTTTTTATTTTCCTTGAACTTTCTCTTTCCTTATGCAGGTGGTTTATCTTATATTCAATCTCCTCAGAAAGATCTTCTGGAAATAAAGAACTTGTTTACTTTTTCACAGTGCTTAAAAAAAAGCACTGAATCCAATTTAAATTGTGTAAGAGTAAACTGGACTAAGAAACCTTTAAGGTTTAATTCACTGCTGGCAATTTTACAGTGCGGGTGAGAAATCTCACCTCAAGTCTAGGAGAAAAGTGCTATTCGTTAGCTTCTATTCAGAAACTATTGGCCCTGTTTGCTGCCGTCCGAGCCTCCAGAGAGTCCTTTTGTGAGGAGAGAGAGTGGGTGATTGCCTGTTTTATACATGGCAGAAGACCTAAGCAAGCTACACAGTCACACACACACCTACACCCACACACTCACACAAACATAGAACTTTGCCATGAATAGCAATGAGAAAAGGCATTGGCTTTGACAATAGCACATAGACACACATATGTCTGTTCCATCTGACCAGAAATCCAATGTTATAATGCTGCTGGGGGGGGGCGATGTATGGATTCAAAGAATGGATTCAAAGGGGTGTGGGCATGTGCAGTGTGTGTGGCAGTGTGGTGAAGCAGGTGACCGTTCTAATACGCTGAAATGGATAGAGAAAGGGATTTTGGCGAAGCACAGCTGAGACAGTCCCCACATGCCTGCTGGCATCTGCCTTCACAATGTAATGGAGAGCGATGGGGAGAGAGGGGAGATTCTCTTCGCTTCTTATTGACGAGACCCCTACAGGCCTCGCTGAATAAAGAAAAAGGGTAGTGAGTTGGATAGGCCTGTCACGATCATGAAACTTCAGCTGACAATTAATTGCCATATAAATAATTACTATTAACAGTTTAATTGAGCCCTTACAATGAAAAGCTGTGTATGTGATATAAAAAAATCATATAAGCATGGTATGGCATTGTTTGATGCCCTGTATTTAAAATAAAGGGGTCACTAAAATGTCAATAAAGCATAGTTTGGCTAGCAAAAAATAAAATAGGAAACAAAATAACTGATAATCCAAAAAAGGTTGGAATGGATAATGTTTGTTTTTCTTTGGAGGGGTTTCATTGTCTTTATTTGCTATTACTATTAAAGTGCAGTCTTAAGTCTTAACTTTTTGTTTTTTCATTTTCTTCCACATTAATTTTGAACTTAAACCCAAATCAAATTGTTTATTTTGAAAGCTAACTATGCAAAATAATTGCAGCCAGCTTAAATATTTGCAATCATCTTATACAATTGCAATCGGGAGCTCATGTAGTAATTGTGGCAGGTCCACTCTGTGGTCATATGTGCTAAAGCCATCAGCCTTTAATATCTGCCTTTGAATGTATCTATGACTACAACATGCAGTAGAACCCTAAAAAGAGTTAATGTACACCGTACAAAATAATTTACATGAAATTACTTAATTAATGGCATAGTTATGTAATAAAATACATTTACATTCGATTTACTTTTGAGTCAGAAATGTAACACATAAATGAAAAGGATTTTTCCTTGAAGTTTTCAGCAAATTCAAATCAAAATATATGAGAAAATTGTAAGATCTTAGCATTTTCTTTTATAGCTGTCTTGTATCCTTCAGCATCCTAACCATATAAAAGAGCTTATGCTTTTCTCATCTGTGTCCAGAGAAAAGCTTAGGTTAAGCTCTTCTTTTCTCATAAAGGAGGTTTAAGAGAAACAGAGAAATCAGTGAGCCTTCATTACAGAGCTGTTTTATTTCTCCTGAGACAAAACAAGTTAATCTTAAGACCATGCCCAAACTAGTTATATTTACTGCATATTTATTCACCAAATGTTACATCCATGATCAGTATACTAGACCATATCTTAGCGTACCAAACCTTCACATATTAAGCAGCTCCCTCCAAATTTATCAGAAATAGAGTCTAGAATTTAGAAGGTGTATTCTTTTAGCCGGATGTTCTGGTGAATTCTTAACCGTGGTGCTTCATGTTTGATGAGTCTGCTGCTGTTTTGTTCTACTACAAGCTAAACTTTCTGTGAGATAATATTTGAGCCTGTATGATCACCCTGTTTTCACCCTTGCTTTGCTGGATCAGTGCACTTGTGCCCTTTGTAAAAATAAATACAGTACAGTATTTAAATTAGTCAGCCAGATTAGTCAGACCAGCTCTGGCTTCTGAAGCACTGACTGACTGAAAAGCACAATGCTGCGGTTACACATACGCACTGAAAAAACATGGTTCTTCAAGGGTTCTTTTGTAAAGGCAATGATTCTATATAGAACCATTTCATGCTTAAATGGTTCTTTGCATGGTGAAATGTTCTTCAGATTGATGGGGAATGTGTTGTATATGGTACTATATAGAGCCTTTTTTAAAAGTCTTTCTGTATAGCATCAAAAAGGGTTCTATTATTGTTACAGAGTCAAACCTGTAACAATAGAAGAACACTTTCTGGTGCTATGTAGGACCATTTTCAAAAACATTCTCTGTCAATCTGAAGAACCATTTCACCATGCAAAGAACCATTTAAGCTTGAAATGCTTGTATGTAGAAGTCAGGGTTCTAAATAGAATTGTTGCTTTACTAAAGATCCCTTGAACCATCAGTTTTGAGTGTGTAGGGCTGGTTAAGTGTAATGGGGTTTTTAATGATGAACCACCATTGACACCATTGGCAGTTTAATCCAAGACTAGGCTTAATCCATCCACCACAAAACCAGCCCATACACTCCTAAACATAAGAGCTTAAAGGTTCTTAAATGGTTCTTAGTTTGGACACAAGGGTTTAAGAAAAGAACTTAATTTGAATGATGCAGCCTTTACACTTTGTGGAGGTTTTTAAACTTTATAAATGTTCTTGATGCTTACAAATCTCATTTATAAAACCTGAAGGATTCTTAGTGGAGCTAAAAGTAGTTCTTCTTTGGCGTTGCTCCAAAGTACGATGTTTTGTGTACTGGGTACAGCCTTCATTTAATGCTTGAAACCAATTTAAAAAATACTGTTTATAAGTCTACACAGTCATTAAATGGCTATTTATTTAAAAGTTAAAATTTTACCTATAGTTCCTTCAGTGAATTATTAATGCATCAACCAAAGAACAACTAGTACAACTGTTACGGCTCAGTCATTTCTCTCTGAGAGGCAGGTATTTGTAAAACTGCCCACTAGTTGTGGGCAGCCTGGAACACTGACTAACCACCTGTCCCACAGTGTTGCATAAGTGGTTGCTCACAAAGATTCACATGCTATGGAGGAATGCTAGAGCTACACTATTAAAAGGTGCCAAATAAGATTCGTGTGTACTTTTCAAAGGCTAATTCTTAAAGAATGTGGAGACGTGTGAAGAACCTTTTTAAGTTTAGAGAACTTCCACATAATGTAAAGGTTCTAGGAAGAACCCTTAAATTGATACAGAATCTTGACATTATGTGAAAGTTTTTTAAACCTTTAAAAGGTTCTACACACTCACAAATCGCTTCTTTAAATATGGTTCTAAAAGTAGTTCTTCTGTGGCATCAAATGAGGCAAAAAAAATCAGCAATTGACTCGTTATTTGCCTCATCTGCACAAATTTGAAATTAAAAATGTTTCATGGCTGTTTATCCCAAGTGCATCATAGCACCAAGATCATCATAAGATAGCAGAAAATGGTGATCATTTAGATGGCGTCTTTAACGGTTAGGATGAATTTGAAGCGGCAATGCTTCTGGGAAACGCAGCCCTGGAGAATTTTTCTGTTCTTTATGAACAATTATCCGCATCCAGCCAAATGTAATTATCATCTGTGCAAAAGGAAAACAGGTGTCTTTCCCCCCACATCAGTTGGCCCTACTTGATACAGCAGACAGCACAGAAATCTCATTTCACACTGAGCAAGTTTGATGCAAATGAAAGGTTTACACTAAAAAGATAATATGGCATAACTTCACTGCCTGAGGCAAGTATCTGTGGCACGTAGCTGTTCAGCCACTGTGTATTGGATTCAAATTAGCAAAAACTTTCTCCTTGGCCAGCCGGGATCAGATTTTGCTCTACAAGTTTATGAAAGCTTCAGGACAAGAGAACATTTCGTGCAATAAGTAGCAAAGTGAAACAGACAGTGAGATTAAATCCTTCTTGTATTACAGTGGTTAAACTCACAAAGCAGGATATATCAGCAAGCTTGATAAGCCAAAAGTGAGACCTGGCCAATACTAACGTCTTTCAACTCTTCTTTTATTGGACAGGCCTGACTTTAGACTTAAGTTGTCTGGTTAAGTAAGTTTTGTAAGTGGTTTGTAAGTGAAATCTCTCTTGACCAATAAAAACTCTGATTCTAAGTAAATCATAAATCCTGGTTTGTCAAACATGCCCTGGTCCTTTTGACTTGCTTGCTCAGCTGCAAAGAGGAAAGTTCAGTTTGCCTCTGGTTTTGTAGATCATACACATTTCCATCTAAAAATATTCCATCAACATTATTGAATTAAAAAAACCATAGTTCATCATAAAGGGACCTCCAAAACAGGCAGAAAGCTCTGGTGAGAAAGGGTTGATGGTAGGGCACGATTTCAGTAAGAGAAATTGGATTAACAGATCCATGAAAATTTGGCCCCGATGAGTGCTGGATCCCGGTGGCTGCCACACTGCCCTGTTTAAGTACACCTAATTACATTATTGACTTCCAATATCCTCATCTCTGCCTCTTTTTCTCCTACTTGTAACTCTAATGAGTCTTTTGATCCTCCTTCCCCACCGACTCATCTAATCTCGCCCCTGTGGTTACTGTTGTCGTTCTTTGCAGGATTTCAGTGTGTGACGAGGACAAATTCCGCCACAACGAATTCATCGGAGAGACACGGATCCCCCTGAAGAAGCTCAAGCCCAACCAGACCAAGAACTTCTACAACTGCCTGGAGAAGCAGCTGCCTGTGAGTAATCTGCAGTCATTGAACCAATCAGAGACGTTGTGCAATGCTGCCTTCTTGTGTTATCAGAATTATCGTTAATGTGGCACTTAAAGCTTCACTTGGGAGCTTCAGAAACCATTCTGATACCCGAATTTATGACTTTTTACTGACTTTATCCTTTTATCTTAGCTGAGGAAAGAATTGTTTTAGTCGTTTAAGGTTATTCCTTATTTTTCCAAATCCTCTCAATCCCCTACGTTTCCGACGACAAAGCTCTTGAATGCAAAGGCACAAGTGCAGACGCTTATAAAAACAGCATCAGAGGAGAACAGCTTGTTTATCGCTACAGATCATACAATCATGCAAGCTGCCTTTAGAGGATGGAAGAATGAAGGCGGATTACAAAGATGCATATCAGATGCTGAATTGATTATTGTCGCTCCTAAAATTGCATATCAGTTCAGCCTAATTAGAAATCGATCACTGTTTGTACCCCCTAAAAAAGCAACATGCGTATATCAAACAGCACATCTTAAACATGGTTCACTTTGAATCAGTATTTTTTTGTATTGATTAGGATGCAAGAATGTTTGACCTGAGTTCATGTTTATTTGTGTTGTCTAGGCCCCTGTTTACTCTGCAATATTTTTTGGCAATGCGTTTTCTTTCTGTTGTTTGATGTTTTAGGTTTTTGTGATACATGTAGTAATATTTAAAAAGCAATAAAGTGTATCAAAATAAATAAATGCCAATTGCAGCTAAATCCAGCAGTGGAAATGGTGCATTTAGACACGGAATTAAGGCAGTAATTCAGTATTCTGGTTAACTCGAGCTTAACTAGAGCTTCTTCTGTACTATATCACTACTATACTACATTGTCATATATCACATTGCAGTTGTGATATGACTTGCAATGTATTAAAACACATGGGTGAACCTCTGATGACATTTCACAAGGTCCCTTCAAAAACGTCCCTATTTTATCTTCAATAATGTATAAAGACATTTGAAAGCAATCACTGTTGATGTATAATGCACTTTGTCAAAAACACATTTTAATTCTTTAACAAAAGGTGGCGTTAATTAATGAAAGTGACATTTAATGTGTTGTGAAACTAAACCCTCCATATCTTCTGTGATTAACAAACGATATATTGTGCAATGTCGTGAAAGACACCTTAACAGTCGCCCAACTAAAGAGTGCTTTCTTTAGCCTCTGCCGCAGATTATGCCAAGCTACAGGTACACACACGTACACACACTGAATAGATCCACAAATAAACCTTACTTTTATCAGTTAATGGAAAGGCACCCCTGCCCAGGCTTTCCTGAGTCTGCCGGTACATTGTACAGTGTCGGAATTATGTGAACAGGTTCCAGAGGCAATAAGCACAGCAGCATGAATGGATGAGGTGCGCATTTCCCCCTCAGCACGACATTATCTATATCTGCGGCCTATTCTCTGGCTCTCAGAGTACCCCTCTTATTAAACCAGAGTCATTCACGTCCCATATCAGAAAATGCTAAATGAACCCAATTCATCAAAGGCCTGTAACTGTTGCAGGTTATGAGTTGCTCCTTTCTTTTGTTGCTCGTTTTTAGCTGAGAATCCCTTTCAAATCCACTTAGGCACATATGCAAAAGCCAGTGCTCTATCTTCAGGTGTTTAAAGTCTTTTAAAGAGGAATTCTGCCATTTTCTCTCAGACAGCCTTTATAAGGGCATCATGAATATATCATTTTAGCAAAGACGTTTTCCAAAATGATCAGATCAACCAGCAGTGTTGAATTTAGTCACTTAGTCTTGGAGAGGCTTTAGTCCCATGGTCTATCCATGGAATTGCGATAGTGAAATTCCATGGACAGACCAAAAAACAAACAGGATTTTAAGCTTATGCATGTTTATTATCGCTATAATAAGTGTGCCTGGCATAGAGGTGTAGTATGAGAAAAGCACTTTTTGACAGATTCATTTCACTGAATACTCCATATACGTTTTGTAAAGCAGTATCTTGTATGGTGTTATTATGTATGGTGAATGGTGGCTTTCCAAGAGTAGCAATGATGTGGAGTTCTGGTTTTAATACTGGATTAGTGTAAAGTTGGGGTGAACGTTTTCTAGTTTTTCCATTGTTCATTTCGACCTAAAGTATTGACTGATGAGTTAAAATATAGCTGAAGTGATGTACTTTTGCAGCCCCCCTTGTGGCCATTCTGCTAGCAAAATAGAAATGACAGTTAATCTATTCAAATAAATTATTCTTCCTGTAACTGTTAGCAGATTAACTAGGACACTGTTGACTGTGGGTCAAATGTTATAACTCTGTGTTGAGCTGCTGGTAAGCAATAAGGGGTGAAAGAGGAGGGCTGAGAAACTCCTGCTATAGAAAGTAGACAAAACATTTTCATCATACAAATATATTTCTTCAACGTTATTAAGAGAAAATGCATAGTTCAAATGTGGGACTTCAAAACAGGCAGGAGTGGCATTTTATGGCTACTGTGAAAAAGGATTGATTGATTTTCCCCATTTTTCTACTAAATGATCTGCTCATAACATTACAGTAGAAGCAAAGCAACAGTATCTACTTTGTTTTCCTCATTTGGTCATTTATAGGCACTTTAGTAGTTAACACAGAAGCTAACCAATTTGATTGTTGCCTGATGACCTGTTACCTGCTTGTACATCCATGTCCCTCCCTCAAAATGAAACAACTTTCAGTAGTCTTTCAGAACAGAAGTGTTCTGTCTTATGTTAAATGGGGAACAAAACTGCAGCACTGTAGGTTTTACTCTTTGTGGCTTACAGGCTGTATGATGACAAACTGGGTTTGACAAAAAAAGAAGCTTATGCTTCAGTAAATATGTGAAATGACTTCAAAGAAACACTGTGCAGCGTATTTCATTTCAGCCACAAGAAGTAAGTGGAGTATGTTTAGAAGTATGTGAAAGGTCGGAGGTTCTACAGCTCTTGATTACTTGGCTCAGGAGCATTGGGAGCTGAAATGAAAGTAAATTGTGAACTTGCAGAGGGATCTAGAGGACTGATATTTATCCTTGATACAAGCTGAATAGGGTTTCTATGAGGAAGGAAAGCTCATGCTAAGCATTCCACCAATCCACCTGCAACAGATAGAGTTGATAAGGGTACTTAAGGGTAAAAAGGGAAATAGTGGATTCTTTCCTTTAATGACACAAACAAGTACTTTAGAGCAGGGGAGTCAAACTTAACCACTAAAAGGGCCATGTTTAAGATCTCACCAAATCTATGGGCCAAAGAAAGGCCAGATGTATCTCTGTCACTTTCTGTTGCCTCAGCTGTCTGTACAACTCTCCATATTTGTCACTGTGTTTTGTATTCTTTCATTATGGCCACGCCATCTCCGCAAACGACACAGATAGGTTTGTCCTTATTAGAAGTGAAAAGGTATTTGAGCTCTTACCTGTCTTGAAATCCCCTGTGTTCACTGTCCACTTCTCTTTTGGTAATTTTTTTAGCTACCTAGGTGGTTTCTTAGGTAGCTAGCTGTTTATATTGGTTGGACTGCTGAAACGCAGCTATGGTGGTTGGTGATATGACTGGTGTGGTGGAGTTGTGGTGTAACTGCTGTCCCATGGATTGTTGTTGGGGGAAGGGGGTTGGCACGCACATCACATTGCAGTCCATGCTGGGGATTATAGTGCAGCTTATTTTGTGAAACAGTCTAATATTAACAGAAAATTCTAATTATGTTGCAGGCCGGATAGGATTGTGCCACGGGCCTGACATTTGACACATGAGCTTTAGAGGATTCTGGAATAACTCATTATAAGTTCAAATTACTCTTTTTCTTCACCCAAGCATCTACTAAATTTCCTGAATTACACATAAATATAAAGGTGTCAAAAAGGCTGCCATAGAAGAACCACTTCTAGTTCTCTAAAGAACCTTTCAATGGGTTGTTCTTTAGCCTCTTTCTGCAGACTCGTGGCCATTCTGTCAGCAGACTAGAAATTGACGCTGATATTTTGGCCACACTTTATTTGGATGGTCCCCTGTAGATGATCTACAGATACTTAAATCATTAACAGACTTTCTGGTGATGTTCAGTTGATTATCAACAACATTATGGTTAGGATGAGGATTAAGAGTAGGTGTAGGTTTTTTCTTGAGGTTAGGGTTAGGTTTAGGGTTAGGGATAGATTTAATAAAATCTTTCACACTGAATTTGTTTTTAGTTGAAAGTTACTTAAAGACAGACTGAGCATTTACAAGCATCTACAGTGGACCATCCGAATAACACTCAACTTCAAGCTCAGTTGCATTTAATGGATATTTAGTTGAAAGCATCTACAATAGACCATCCAAATGATGTGTTACTGATATTTTTCGTTTATATAATCAAATAAAACATTTTTCCCTGTGACTCTGTTATCAGATTAACTAGGATGCGGTTGTCTCTCTGTGTGTGAAGTGTTGTGAAAGCTGCAGCTTTCTTCACATCCAAAAATTGTGTACAACTGCCCCAATAAAAATAGCGTTTAAAACTGTTATATTTATGTCTATACATAATTATTGACTCACCTACAAAGAAAAAAAACAGTTCGCTTCCGGTTTTAATTAATCATGCACTTTTCTGTGTAAATATATTCCATAAACTTTTAAAGAAAAAATATTACTTTAGATGAAGTTTAACAGAGGGACCTTCGAAACAAGTGGAAATTGCATTTTATGGTTACTGTGAAAAAGGTTTAAAGGACCTTTCTGTAAATGAGATGTGTGAGCCTGAGGGACCTTTTTAAGGTTATGAGAACCTTGTTCTATACGGATTGAATTTTTTCCTAGGACCATGGGTTCTATTCAGGAACCTTTATTTTTGAGAGTGTCACTGTAGACAGCACTGCAAATATCAAAACTGTTGCATTACATTTCCAGTAGTGTGAAAAAGAAAGAATGTGTGGAGGGAAGCAAGTCGATACACTTCATCACAACGCCAGGCGAACCATTTCAGCCTTGACAGAGAGGCAGACAAGGCTTCGCAA